TGTTAAAAATCGCGTGCGTGATGTAAAGAATGATAATAATAAAATAAAGTGTTGGAATAGAAAAATAATCAAAGGAACAAAGAGAAAAAATCACTGACTAAGATAAATAGATTGTTTGTGTAAACACGTGTAAAACGTACACGTATGATAAATGATAACAAATATCTTGAACATTTTTTTTCCCTTCTCTTTAGTTTATATTCTTTTTAAACTAACATAATTTATTAGAAATTTACTATCGCTCGGGGAGTGGGCGAAGGGGGGATGGGGATAGAAAAAAAAAATGTAGAGTAGGTAGAACGCTTGAACTCTGACCTATCTTACGTTAAGTACACAACTTGGTAACACGCTAACATTAAAAAAATTCCCGAGAAGAATGGAAAAACAGAGAAGAGGTAGTGGATTTCTTTTCTTTTTTTTTTATTTCTTTTTTTTTTACATGAACCGAAATAAAAAATAGAACACCTCACCGAGAGAGAGAGAAAGAGAGAGAGAGAGTAAGTGAGTACGATAACTAAACTTGAATTCGAGCAAAATAACATCCAAGCAAACGAGCAACCGACGTTGTCGTTGTCGTAGTCGTAGTCGTTGTCGTAAAAACGAAATGCGATGAAACCATCGAAAGGGTGTCAAGTAAGTAAAGAAAGTAAAGACGAGACACACGCAGTGCTTTTAATAATTATTAGAGCGTCAATTCCTTTTATTCTCTTGAATCCAAAAAGACCTAGAAACGAGCGTGTTTTATTTTACCAAAGAAACGGTTGCATTTATTTTATCTTAAATCAGTATAATACGATATTTCTATCAAATTGGATTATTCGTGAAATAAGATTATTATCAAATACCACCATCACGTTATCATCCTTCTCAGTAATATATAGTTTCCAAATTATTTCAAAATCTTAACATCTCCCTCTCTCTCTCTCTCTTATTTTCCGTCTCATCGATTTTAGGTATAATTTAGAAAGGAACCCTATGGTCGTGATTTTAATAGAGAATACTCGAAGACACGTTTCAAAGAGTATCGGACGTTGATCGAACGATTTCACGTGTAAACCAAGGAAAATCATTTTCCCTCATCGAAGAAGGAATTTTGGAGGAAAACCGAGGTGTCAGGAACACTCGCCCACTAAGTTGTCTTATCGATAACGAACCAAACCAGATTCTATGTGATATGGAATGGTGAATATTACATAGGGATTTGCTTATCCCCTTTTGATCCCTTCTCTATTTTCCTCTCGCTTTTATTGAAACGTTCTAATTGATCGTTCGATGTTTAAATAACTAGCTTGAAATTGAGAAATCGTGTGCGGATTAACGTTTAACAAGAAATTCAACAAATGACAAAGAGAAACGAACGAATTCGGATCATTTTGTTTTTATTTTATTTTATTTATTTTTTTTTTTTTTTAAAGAAGCAAAGCGAGTTCTACAAAGAGAAAGAAGAGGAAAGTAAGCGAGAGAATGAGAAGAGCTTGCGGAAAAAAAGGAAAAAAAAAGAAAGGAAAAAAGGAAACCCTTGTTGTAACGAACCGCTTTTGCGAATATCATCATCTCTCGTCATCTATATTGGCAAAAGAGAGAAAAGGGAATCTGCGCGCGCAACCTCAATGGTGTCACGTCGAAGTAAAACGTTCCTCACCTATTTTTCAACCAAAAATATACATATTTCCGAACGAATTTCGAAAGAATCCTATATACATATATATATACATAGAAATGATGGAGGAACTTTTCTACCAATTTTCTTTTTTCTTTTTCGTTCTATATTTCTTCTTTTGTAATATAAACTTTTCTTTTTTTTTCCCCACGAGAAAAAGAAGGAGAAGAAATAGAAGAAAAAAAAATATTCAACATTTATCAGTCTTTTTCCGAGTCACCTAAAGTTTGAGTTTTATCAGAAAAAAAAGAACTAAAAAAAAAGTGATTATAAATCTTTTGAAAAACAAAATGACAACGAATTTAGGAAAATCTTGCTTGAATGAACTATTTTCGATAATGAGAAAGATCATTTGAAATTATCAAAGAGAAACAGAGAGAGAAAGATTAAACAAAATGATAATTATGAACGGTAGAGACGATACATTAACTCACGAACGTTACTTCCGAAGTATTTTGGGACTGGCTGCTTTCCACTGGTACATGTATACTAAACCAGAGAAGAGAGCCAACTCATGTAGGGAGAAAGAGAAAAAGAGAGAGAGAGAGAGAGTCAATGGCCTCGCATTTGCGAGACCATTTCTACGCGAGGCACAAAGAGAGCATTCCGATAAATCCTATATTATGATCGAGAAACATATTACGGCATCTATTACCGCCGTACCACCTACCTTTTACACATTTAGGTTACGGAGAATATAGTGCTACAACGGTTGCTTCCTCTTAAAATGATACTTTTTCTTTATGTTCTTTATCCTTAATATATATATATACATGTTATGGGTTCCATTTTCTTATACTGTCAGGTAAATTATACGCGTAAACGTCATTCGATTACGAAATAAACAACAGAAATAGAAACACCTTCGTTGAAGTTTGTTGATACTTTTTTATTCGTTTACATTGGATTTTGATGAAAACGAAATAAGAGTAAACGTAATCGTGATATAGATAATCACGTTAATTTTAATTAATAAATGTTCATTTCTTTTCCCCCCCCTTTCCTTTCTTTAATAAATTGACTTTTTTCTTCTCTTACTTTCTATGAAAAAAAAAAAAAAAGTAGAAACAACGAGTTATATTTGAAAGAGAATTTCTATCTAGTCCCGTTTTAATCGCTACGATATTTCTTCGGCATTTTGCCAAATCACGTCGGCGTTCTTGTTTAAAACTATTGTGAATTTCGTTAAAGTAGAAGAAGAAAAAAAAATTCATTGAAATTACAACGGTTCGTTCGTTGACCTCTCATAAATTCCTTTTCTTTCTTTGTTTTCTGTCACGTTTGTGTTATTCTTTCTAATAAAAACGTAATTAGCCTTACGTTTTAATGAAAAAAAAAAAAAACGAAGAGGATGAAATTTAATTTAACAAACTTTACCACAAAGGAAGTAAAGGTAAAAGAAAAACAAAAAAAGAAAAAACAAAAAAAGAGAAACAAAACGAAAATAACGAACTTCATAACAATCATTGAACTATTCAGGGGATGTCGTCCATACGGTATACCGATGGACAATATTTCGCATAATTGAATCGCGCGCGACAGCGAACGTACGCGTGCACCTATATATGTATATCCTTCACGCATATTTACTTGCTCTTACATTGGTATTAAATTTATACAGATGTTAAGGTGTATACGTTGCATGCTCAACGGTCTCCTTTGGATTCAATAACGTTAAACAAATAATTACTTTATAAGTATTATATTAAATTATACTACACAATAATAATTGTAAGTAATATTATCTTTATAAATTTATACAACGGATGTTTCGTGTTGATACTAACTTTCAATTTAAAGTAATCAAACGCAGTACGAATAAATAATGCGAAGTATAACAAAACAAAATATAATTCAAATATTTAGGCTAGAGTAACTTAAAAATTAACGAGGCTTTGTAGAAAGTAAAATTAATAAACAAGACAAAAAAAAATGGTGTCTTGGTTAAATTGAATAATATTCATTCTGCACCTAGAAATGAAATAACGAAAGATGAAGGTAGAAATTCCATGGAAACAGAGGGAACGATGGGGAAAAAAGGGGGAAAAATAGAAAGAGAGAAAATCTCTTTCTGTCTCTCTTTCTCTCTCTATCTCTCTTTCTCTCTCTCTATCCTGCTGTCTCGCCGTCTCGTGGTTCCTATCGATTTACTACGAGGCGGTGGTCTTGCGAAACAACTGCGGAGCATCACGTCGCGAAAAACGAGGATACGATAGATTCGAGTAGAATCGATGAACTCTCTCTCGTTCACCCCTAGTCTCCCTCTCCCTCCCCCTCCTGCCCCTCAATGAAATCCCCTCGCGAGTGCATCGTACCGCGTGAACACGATACATAATACCTTTACGGTATATCTCTTTTTCGTGTTGGTTCAACGACACTAACTTGCTTTATTAACTTCGATCGAGACATTCATCGACCTTGCATTTTAACTAAATAATGACATTTGTCGAAATTAGTATTAAATAAATTTTCTCTCTCTCTCCCTCTCTCTCTTTCTCTCTGTGCATGTAACAAATTCAATAAATTACATTTTTGGGAAATTATTTAAAAAAAGGTGAATTATAAAAACATCATTACGTTTGTAATATTAGGCAGAAAAATAAAGAAATGAATTTTATTGATAAATTGTGATACTAAAAGACAAAAAGGTATATTGTATTCATAAGATTGACATCGTTTCAAAAAAAATGTCTTAGGCCTTGAATCGAAAAGGTTAATAGTAGGCGTGCCCTAAAAATATTCGACGAGAGATCGCGTTGGGATCACCTGCTAATCGGAGGAAAGATAAGAAAGAAGGTACGTTACTCGTAACGTGGGGTAACCAAGTTGGTAAAGGAGAAGGTGGAAGATAAGTAGTAGGAGTAGGAGGAGGAAAAGGAGGAGGAAGAGAAGGAGGAAAAGGAAAAGGAAGAGGAAATGGAAGAGGAGGAAATAAGAGGTACCGATGGAGGAAGGATCAAGGACAAGCGAGGTCGAAGGGGTGGCGAGGGTGCGACGGAGAAGGAAAGTCGCAGGGCGTACGTCCTGTGCCTCCTTACTTCGACAAAATCAATAACCTGTTCTGGGGTTCGGCCGAGAGAAAGCTCTCTAACGTTTTATAACGATAAGATCAAAGGGAAAAAAGAAAGAGAGAAAGAAAGAGAGAAAGAAAGAGAAAGAAATAAAGAAAAAGACAGAACGTAGATAGGATTATCAAAAGAAAAACTGTACCTAACCAATAGTATAGGATTGTAATGTGGAAAACAAAAAAAAACGAGAAAAGCAGAGCTAAGTAAACGACAATAGTTTAATTTATCCGGGAGGAGGGGGACAGACAGATAGACAAACGGATAATACTCACTCGGTGATTGGGCGGCGACGTTTCTGATTCCTCCTGAAGATTAAACGAGGGTTGAAAAGCTCCGAAGGAAGACTCGAGCGGCACCTATCCAGAGGGCACAGAGAGTACACTCTCTCTCTCTCTCTCTCTAACACTTTTCTGTTGATCCGTTGTCCTACCTGCACGGAGATGTGTCACACGATCAACGAGGGTGGTCTGCTTGACGCGAGCTTTCACCCCTAGCGCCGGGCTTCACTGAAGCACGTCGATCGCACGCGCCACTTCGATTTGTTTTCTCGTTTTCTAAGTATATTACCTAAAGCTTTATAAAGGAAAAATTTTCGTGTGTTTCTTTTCTTTTTCTTTTGTTTTTTTTCGAAGTAACGATCGGGGCAGGGGAGGAAAAGGGATTCTACGAGAGAAATCGCTAGTGGGTTATAAACGTCACCAAAGCTCCTGTCTTTAACTCTTCCTTTCTTTCTTTCTCATTTACACCCTTTCGAAGCAGCAACCCTCTCTCTATACGCTCGTCTCGACACCTCGCGGCGAACTACGTCACCTAACTCGACCAAAATCTGTCGCGCGTTCGACCTTTTCCCTTCAGAAAAAAAGGGACAGACGTACCAAGAGAACGAGAGGAAAAGAGAGAGAGAGAGTAAGGGAGAGTGAGAAAGAGAGAGCTAAAGTGCAAGAACGATCGAAATACATATGATATATATATATACCGTATATTTTACTCGGAAGAAAAAAAACCTCCCCCAAGAAAACAAAAACAGGGAAAACGAAGTAGGTGCGATACTTCACTGTTAAGAAGCCGGGTCGTTTGGGTGTTCCTCGTTCGTATCGTTTTTTTTTTTTGACGAGGAAAAAATGCAAATAAAAAGGGTAATATAAAGAATATATATATTTATAATATAGGTTGAATGTGTAATTATAAAAGAAAAAAAGTTTATATATGATTTCGAAAGAAGCGACAATAACGCTTCGAAGTTGACGCGGCTGTGGGGCGCGGGCCACTACCTCCACGAGCCTCCCGGATCGTTCGGTAGAACAACGATGGTGGGGCTCTTCCATTTGGCGTGCCGACTCCCCCACCACCACCACCACCACCTCCACATCCAAACCCGTCTTCTCTCTCTCTCTCCAGAGAGAACTTCATTTCACGCATGCTCCTCGAGAGCGGTCTCTACCAGCACGATCCGCAACTTCTCCTGTCAAAGGTTACGCTCGCCTTTACGCTTCCCTTTACCCTACCCTACCCTACCTTACCCTACCCTATCCTACCCTTTCACTCCTACCTATCCTCTTTACACTTCCCCCTTTAACCCTTTATATTAGCGCAATGGAACTTTTAAGTCATCCTCCTTTTGTGTCTTTACGTTTAACTTGCTTTTTTTTCCTTTTTTTTTATTTTTGTATTTCAATTATCCTTAAAGTTGTTGCCTTTTTTTCTTTTTTTTCGTGTTACTTGAAAACAATGTGATCTTATTTATTTATTTTGTATTTTTCTCTTTTTTCAACATAATCATATTATAAATTATGAAACATTTCTCTTCCGTTGCTCTAGACAAATAAAAGTAGCATCGTGCAATACTTTAAAATCGAAATAATATTAGGCTTTTATCTTCAAATTGAGCCGAGAGGAAGAGATAGTCTAATACCGGCTATTTGAATCATCTCTAAGATGAGTTATATATACATATATATATACCCTTCTCTCAGAGGGGAGCTTACTCTCCAACGATATCTGAATATTGCAATTTCATCCACTTCAACTTGACTCCATCATTCGCTTCAAGTTTCTCGCTTACTTCGTCTATCCGTAAGATGTAATCGCATACGCTTTAAAGGCTTAACGAGTCAATCATGTCTAAAGTTGAGGATAATATTTTATTTACAATATGTAATATACCAAGCAAAACAACATTTATTAGATCTTAGATACCTTCCATAATCTTAGACGAGAAGGAAAAATAACAAAAGAAATTATATTAATCGAACTGATATTTGAAAAATACATTTATCTTCGATGATCCCTTTGAGAAAAAAAATAAACAAAAATTCTTTGATTCAATCAACTTGCACTATAGACATTGCAACCACGACGATGATCTATTACGATTTGATTTTTTTTCGAAATAATAAATCTTATTATATATAACAGTCTATTTTTTTCGTGTTTAAATCGCTAGACGAAAAAAAGGGTAAATTCAACTGGTACGAAAATCGATCGAGTTTTCGTTTCGCAAAGAGAATAAAAAAATATAATCACCGACAATATCATTCGACGCGTCACTTAACGACATTAAGAATGACGTTTTCCGTGGACAGAACACACAAGAGAAAGAGAGGGAGAGAGAGGCGCATTTAATATCGAATTATCTTTTCGATTTCGAGAGAGAGACTAATCATTTTACCTTTTGCACGAACGTTCTATGCATACCGATGTTTCACCTAATGCAACTAATACAACGTTTAAACCAATAAAATACATTTAAATCTCAACGAGAAAAAAAACATTTGGATGAAAATAAACGATCGAGCATAAGTAAGTTGTTCGACTTATTTCCAAGTGAGACTTTTATTTTTTTTGGTTGAAACTCTCGATAAAGAAAAAAAAGAAAAAATAAAAGAAACAAATCTCTCTTAAAAAAAGAAAGAAAATTGGTTGCAAGTTCGAATTGAAAAGAAGTGCCAACGTAAGATTCGAGGAACGGATTCGTGTTTTTTTTCTTTTTTTTCTTTCTTTTTCTCGCTCGAGAGGTTGCAGGGAGAAAGAAACGAGACGAGTGGAATGGCCTATCGAGTCGTACTAACGAGATGAAGCCGGAAGAAACGATCGAAGACGTCGAAGGTGTAATCGAGTTCCACGAATCCGAACGATCAATTTGTGTGTGTCTCAGCTAAATCGTGCGAATAATTTTAAACGAACTCTAATACAAATTTTCAGTATTCATTCACGGTCTCTAGAACCTTTGTTATTTAACACTTAAACAAACTTGTAAAATGATTTTACGTTTGATCGTAAATTTGATCTAACTTTTTTTCCATCATTTGTAATATACAATAGGTAAGAAGAAAAAAAAAAAGGATTTTTACAAAAGGAAATGTTTATTGTAACGAACGGTAATAAGGTAAATAGTTAGTTACGTTTGATACGTACCTTAAAGTAAAAAGATCAACAACAATTCATTGATTAAACTAAAAATAAAAGTAACTCTCTCTCTCTCTCTCTCTCTCTCTCTCTCTCTCTCTCTCTATCTCTACCCAAGAAGAAAAAGGAATGAAATGATTTAAATGGCGGACGTAGTAGCAAAGACGTAGTAGTAAAGACGTAGTAGCGCAATTGAAAAACGTTGTACTCGTACGTTAGCATTGACTTCGTTGGTTCATTAGATTCAACGTTCAATCGATCGACCACGACGACACGAAAAGCGAATTTCTCTGGAACAGACTAGCGTGCTTTTATACAAAAAGGAATACGGAACTATAATCGATTTTACTTACGGATTCAGACGTTCCCTACTATACTATTTATTCTCTTAAGCCTAGAAAATTCCGTTTTACTTCTAACAATAAGTGCCAATGCTTTTCCAACAACGTTCTGTCGTTCGTGAGATCTTTGAATTCTTTCGTTAAAGCAATAAGACCGAGAAAAATCAAGCCTTTTTTCGTATTCGTTTTCATTATTATTATTATTATTATTATTATTATTATTATTATTATTATTATTATTATTATTATTATCGATCATTTTATTTGGTAAAAATGCAGGCAATATTTCTTTAAAAGGATTATTACTCGCTTAAAAAAAAAATAAAATGTAAGGTGAGTCGGGGTTTCTGCCACTTTGCTATATCTCCTATAATTATAAGTAGATATCGATAGGAGCAAGATTGAGGTGTTTATTATGTACAGCTGACCATACTGCGTGAATACTACAGTATACCAACGTAGTTTTTTGCTTTCTAAACACAGTTGGATTAAATTGGTGAGAATCTAAAATTTTCTGTAACTTTAATGTTTATTTTCTATCATATTTATACGTTTTTCTTAAAACGAGTTTTTGTATATTGTGTAGAATTAATAATATTTCATAACGGCACTGATTTTAAAACATAATAAGAAAGATTTTTTCTTTTTTTTTTACTTAACAATTTTTTTGTGCATTCGGGGCAAAATGCCACAAAATGAGAGTTGGGGTAATATGCCAGTGAAGACTTTTGTCCTGTGTGTCACATAAGTTTTTATAGTAAGAAAGGACCGAAATGCGATTGGGTGCAATGTGGCAAATGTGAAAAATGGATGCACGAAACTTGTTGTGAAAGTGAAACTTGTCCTGTATGTAAATCATACAATTTGTCAAATTTCTTATTGTTATCTCGTTTTTTTGAAACTATTTATTATAATTATTAATGCAGTTAATCGAAATTATATTTGTTATACTGTAAAAGTATTAAATTACGAGTTATTTGTGATATTTATATGAAATTAAGTTCTTTTTTGAGTAAGTGGCATATTACTCCTACATGTGGGGAATATGTCACTTTCAGTCGCACTAATTTATTGTTATTAATTAATAAATAAATAAATATTTAGACAAATGTTATTATGCATATAATAAATAGAGGCCATGTTTATTAAATCCACGTATTTAAGTTTCATTAAATTTATTTATGTACTTTTTAGATTGATTTTTTCCTTAGCTGTGGCATATTCCCCCGACTTACCTTATATTAAAACGATAATTCTTTTTATCGTAAGATTGTCATTGGTTGTGTCTATTTTATGAATAATATTATTATAGAATTTTCACGATAATTATTCTAATTCACATCTATTTCATTCGTCAAAGCATAACATGTAATAGTTATCTAATTTTCAATCAAACTTTTTTTCCTACTAATTTGTGACGTTTTGTAATGGTGTCTCCAGCAAAATTCTTCGATTCTTTTGCATGCTTCCTCAAGCATATCTTTAGGTATGGTAATTACCAGTCTCATATACGAAGGGTAGTCGAAACACTATAAGAAATAAAATTGACCGTATAAATAATAAATCAATAAGTTACTAAAGATCAAATTTATTTTTAACTTACTTGACCCGGCAGACAAAAAACGGATTCTTCCATGAGCAAACGTTGGACGAAATCAACGTCGGTATTAAATTCAGGAAAACAAGATAAGTCTATAAAAACCTGAAAATCAATACGACAATTAATATCGATCGTTTTATTTTAATTCATGAAAATGAAATAAAATAATCAAAGTGTATTGTGGACATGAAATTGATTAATGTTTGCAATAAAATGAAAAAAAAATATATATATATATATAATATTATAAATAATCGAAAATAGGAATGGAAATATTTGTGTGTTATTCAATTAGATTGACCGTAATATAGTTGTTGGACGTTAATGTGGATGATCTAGATTATATCATGATTGGAAGAGATGTTTCGATTCAAGCCTAATCGTAGTTTACCATCATATACATCGCACCGCCTGGCATTATCGGCTTCAATCCTGGTATCTTAGCTATACAATTATAACACAATTTCGAATGAGTCTGCAAAAAAAACAGTCCATTAAAAATATAACATAGTTGATTTGTTAACAATGATAAAAAGTAACCGATAGATTAATAACGGATTATAACATTGGATGAATAAAATGTAGAAAATGAGAGAGGGGTAAAAAAAGAAAAAGGAAAGACTTACGAACAAGATAGACATGACATCGTCGTAAAATTTTTGTGGTGTATTTTTTAAAATGGCAGGTAAGGCACCCTGTATAAGCGTATTGCTACCAATAATTCGTTGACTCAAACATTGCAAACCCTTGCGAATCTGAAACGTGATTGTCGAGATTTATAAACATATTTTACGAAAGAAAAAAAAAACAAGAGAAACAAAATGAGGAAAATTAATTTTTTTTTGCAAAGAAAATAATTGATTTATATACGGCAATACAAGCACACATTTTCTTTTTTGTTTGTATCGATTTTAAAGAAAAAAAGATATACATATATAAAAGTTGTTAAAGTTAAATTACGAATTGAAAATTGGAAAGATTGTCAGAACGATCTCGAGATAGGGGAGGG